CTCTAATTTGTTAGATCATAAAATGGAACTATATATTACAATTAGAAATAAGATAAACATAAGATAAAGATTAATGTTTAAACCTTTGAAAAAAGAAGGATATATTATGCAATTTATAAAACAATCATATCATTAAAGGTAATATAGACTGTACAATAAAAAATACACAAGGCTTAGTCAACTAGTCTAAATTGAAAAATCTTCCGTTTAAAAAGCCAGTCAACAATAATACTTGGTAAAATAGTCTATAGTCAATAATATTTAGTAAAATAACATGTAGTCTATTTTATCATATATTAAAAGCCATAAATACCCTTTATTTGAAATGTCTAAAATGTCCAATTTCAAACCAATATTCCATAACCCTTTTCATTTGAAACTATCTTAAAAACACGTTTTAAAAATGATAAATAGCGTGGCCATGGCCGAAACAGAGATGCGATAATGTGAGGAGAGCATTTCCGAGAAACTGATGATCGAACAAAATCAATGTAAAAATATAAATGAACCGACTTCGCAAGTACCCACGGACTTCTTTTAGAAGTAATATCTTCTCTTTTCTTTTTGTCTTTCCTTTTCTCTTTTTCCTTTTTATCTGTTTTTCTTAATGAGGGGGTGAATTATTGATGTCGTCGATTAATATACCCCACGCTTTTGTTAAAAATTGATAAAGTATGTGATTAAAAAATTATAAATCAAATATATAATTAAAATTTATTGTTGAATTTAGCTTAAATTTTTATCAAAATTTTAATCCCACCAAATATGTTACCTTTACAAATTATAATTGGCAATGGCATATATTTTTTAAAAATTTTATATACATTATCTGACGGTGAGATGTTAATACAACGAAAATACATCTGTGTTTTATTTATATTTAATTTCGTGTGATCAAGTTCCCTAATATACTTACAAATGCATCATTCCATTTTCTGTCGTTAGTTCAATTAACATAATTTGCAGATAAAAATGAACGAAATAGTTAAATATACGAGCAAATCAAAGTTGGGTGATGTAATTTCAGTGAAAATTAGGTGACCGCAATGCATTTAACCTAGATTGCTTTTTCAACCCAATTCATTTGGTTACTAATCCTTTTAACACATAATCCATCTCATTCAGATCTTGTTGAGCATGGAAAGTTGTGAACAGAAGACAATAGGGTAAAGGGCCCAACTTGGCCAAAATACTTCCTTTACACATTGTATCAGAAACCGACACCAAATATCAATCAACATTTTCAAATACATTCAACATCAAATTTCTGTACATTGGCATATATTCAAGAAACAGGGATTAGAAGCCCGGATGTGAGCTTTTCTGACTTCAGAAGCAGTTACAGCATCAGCTGGAAGATCAGATGTTGGGCCAAAAAATTTGATCAACAGTTTGATATTTAACTCGTTACTTCAAACACAATTATGAAGCTAACACCCTTTCAATGGCAGCAATGTAGAACTCCTTGGGCATGGTGCCAATGATAGATTCAAGTTTTACACCTTTTTTGAACAGCAAGACCACTGGCACAGCCTTAATATCATAATTCTCAGCAACTTGCAAATCACTGTCTGCATTGAGTACAAAGCATTTTAATCTCCCGGCATAATCCGTCGCAATCTCATCAATCACACGATGGACCATCCGGCAGGGGCCACACCAACTGGTATAAAACTCGACAAGTACTGGGGTATCATTATTCAAAACCAGTTTCTCCCATGACTTGCCCGTAACAACTGCTGCTGCAAATTCAGAAAACAATATATTTAGAACTCACATTCACTTTTTGCACCCAAATAATTATTCTCCAACAGTTTAAAGGAAATATTAAACACAGAACCCAGGCATCCACTGGTTTCTTAAAAGCTATAATTTACAAGAACTGATGCAAACTTTCTACTACGCGAGATAGGGTTCTTCTCTATTAACCTGACCATAAGTAGTATATCTTCAAAAGGAAAGACTTAGCAAATAGCTTTGGAAATCTCATTTCCTCGTGATATCAAAAAACCATGAAATTGCAGAAAGTAAGAACACAACAACTCAAAGAAAGGCTACAGTCTACACTGCCTCACTGACCATTTCTCATCAGTAAGTTAAAACTTCTTTAAAACCCACAAACCCAAGTCTATTTGGACAGACTAGAAGTATTTGGATTGAGTATTTGTCTCTCTGAACATTAAACAATAACTCTAGAACTGAGAAATAATGAATGGAGAACTAAATATTTAGTACACGTGATGAAAAAGCGGGACTTTAATCCAACAAGAAAAATTAACAGCCAAGAAAAGAATAACTGAGACATTGACATAAAAACTAAAGCACCATACGATATTGGTCCGATCTTCCATTACATCTAAAGCACAAAATTTATAAAATCAACATTTTTGTCTTTTGTGGCAGAGAGCGTGATACTTTACACCACAGTTTACGAATTACATATTTTTGAAGGATAAAAAGAACCAGCCTGGACACTCATATGTGTTCAGTTCCACTACAGATGAAATCGTTTGATTTATGCAAAGAATTCTCATTGCATTCCGTTTCTCAGAAGAACCAAAAATACTAATTATACTCATTTGCGTTCAGCTCCATCTTCAATATTTAGGGTGTGTTTGAACCACATTATTTTGAAAGAACGTATTTTGGAATAGTAGATTAATGAAGAATGTGTGGTTGAAAAGGAATGAAAAATTATTGATGTGATGGAAAATGTTATTTTATTGAAGAAAGTGTGGTTGAAAATGAATAGAAGAATGAGAATGAAAATTTTCATATGGCTCAATCAAGAGCTTAATACTAAAATATCATTTTTTGTTAAATCATTTTGAATGCCTTTTAATGTATCGATACTACGGCGCCAGCCATAGAATACAGCCAAAACACGGATCAAACTGGCTTGCAAAAGCTTGGATAGAGACAAAGAGAGAGGCTCACATTTTCTTATTGTAATGTGAAATTGACAACAAGCACACCAATTTCGATTAAGATTTTCAATTCCTCCTAGGTTAAGCAGCAAACTCCTTTTACTAATCAATTGCAATGATTTCATACTATTGGAAGAGAGTCAGTGGCTGCTTCTAAATACACTATCAAACTAACTGTTTGAAATATCAACTCAAGCATGTCCGACCCAAAGACTTTACCGAATTATGCAGAACATTGAATCAAGGGAGACCACGTCCAGCGTCCCCATATCAGACAAGTAAAGAAACATAATCAATTGATTAAAGTCGTTGAATTTTAAGGTTGCAATAAATTAAAATGATATTTAAATTTTGAGCAAACGATGTAAATTATTTGCTATGAACGTCAATTTCCTATAATTAACATTAACTACTGTTTTTAACATACATAAAATGCACGAGCATCTTTCACTACATCAAGTGGTTGTATCTTATACTACATCAAGTTAAAAGTAGATACTATTATTGCATTGAACAGCATTTATAGTTTAAAATTCATGCCATAAAACTCTTCCTAAATCTGCCTCTTTTTAGTATCTGAACTAGATGCCTAGTACTTCATTTCTTCTTCTTCATTCCTTTTTTTTTTCCGTGTTGTTAGGGGGGGTGAGTAGGTTGCAAGAACCTGGAAAGAAAATTTAAGACATGGGAAAGGATATTCATGCAGATTTTGAAGATGTCTAATAGAGGACAAAGGAATTGGAATCTGAAAGTATTTCGAGCATGCAACCAAACAGTGCATTATACCAATAAAATCAAATGAATATTGGGGTCCATAGAAGAAGCTCAGAAATCATTTACAAAAGACATAATTGACCACAATAAATAAGGTCATATTTGGTAAGCAGGATTGGACTGATTTGACACCAAAATCGACAGGATTTTATCTCTATTTTTTAGCTTATTTTTCTTATCCAAGCTATAAAGGAAGTGAGAAAAACAAAGTGGAGAGAAATTCCCCACAGCCAGTCCCCCAAAACAGCTGTATTCAACTTGTAGATTAGCAATAAATCCACATCTACAGCAAAAAGGTAAAAATTCAAATCTACAGTCAAGAATCAGAAACAGATTAAAAATCACGACAGAAATGATCCATATCAAACTTGAATTGGTATTACTTATGAATTCTACTTTCAAGCCTCCAATTCTGTACTGCCAACGTAGCCTAATTCCATCCTACGGACTGGTAATTCAGTAATCAAGTAGCTAATCGTGATCAATCAAACATAAAGTTAGTTCATGTTCCATTTTTGCATTTGTGCACATTTTAGCCAAGCAATTCTTTTTCATTCCCTGTTTCTGGATCTACTATCAAATAAACTTAGACCAGATTAAAATATTACAAGGAAAAGAACACCTTACAGTTAGATCTAAGCTCGTTACCTATGGGATTTATGACATCCTCCGCACTCAACCATCATTGAAGCACTAGATCATGTTAACCTTAAGCTGTTAGAAATGGACAACACATATATAAATAACTCTTATGTTTTAACATGCCCCATTCATTTTCTGATAGAAGGTCATCTCGTCTAAAAGCTTAAGCCGAATCACACATTCACTTAAATCTTGCCTTCACTCTTCAACATATCATGAACTAATGGTCAACCCAACAAAATTTTCCTGCAATATTGAACAACAAAACCCATAAAGAAAGATTAAACAAATTGATGAATTCGTTTACCTGTGGTATCACGGAGACAGAAGACTCGCAGATTAGAAGGGTTCTTTCGGGCCCGGAAACCCGTTTTAGGCAAAAATGACAACCCAACTCGATGATCAATCCGCACCTGACACTTTGGGAGTGACGAAACCATGCCATTTCGTAGACAGAAAGGAGGAGTAGAGTAACCAGGAGTAGCACAAGATGAAAAAGCCATTTTTAGCGGAACAAATGAAAAACCCTGTATTGATTTTGATTTCTCAGCTGTATGTATTTCTCAAATTGATATCTATGTATTAATAGTCAAATACGCACGTTGTAAGGGCTTGTTTTGATTGATGCAGGGGAGATATTGTTATCGACTACGACAAGTAATTATTCGAATTGATCCGAATGGCAGACATTTGACGAACGGTTGCCGTTTTGATTTTTAGGTGGGGATGGTGACTGATGAATGAGCTGAATTGTACTCGGGCTGGGCCACTTGGGCCTTTCCAGGCCCGCTCTCGCATGGGCGGATCTAAATTGAGGAAATTACACCTATGCCTGATTTTAGATATCCATTTTCAAAAATCAGGTTACATATTTAACTTTTCAAAAATCAGGTTTTTTATCTTTAAATTAATATTAATTATATATTTCACCTCAATTAAATTAATATTAATTATATCTTTAAATCAACCCTACCTCTTCCCCCATTCTCTCCTCCCCCTCTCTCCCTCTGGAAACCGCCGCCCGCCGCCCAACCTGCCTCCCTCCACTCCACCACCACCTCCTCATTTCCCCTAAACGGCAGCAGCACCACCATATGCCTC